GTTTACAAATATGATCTTTAAGAAAGTTAAATGCAAACAAGATATTGTGGACATATATTTTTAAAGGGTTATTCTATAGGTGCATTCTATCCAGGAAAGGGCATTGCAAGTGGCAGATAAGACAATGAAAACAGACTCAAATGAAAATTGACTCAATTTGAAACTAGCTGAATAGATACAACAAAACATGTGAAATAGTAATCATCAATAAGCTGTGCAAAAACCATCAATAAGTGGTGGTGTAAACCTTTAATCTCAGCACCTCAAGAGGCCATCTCTGAGAGTTCAAGGCCAGCCTGGTATAACAGCCAGAGTTGTTACACAGAGAAATCCTGTCTTGAAAAGTTAAAAATAATAATTAAAAAAACTGTGGTCATTAAGTAGACAAAAATGTTGAAATTGTTAGTTATCATCAAAAGTGATTCTCAAAATTTGTTGAAATACTGTATTTTTCATTTATATTTCTGTAAGTTCATTGAGTATAACTATTAAACTTATTTTAAGTATTTTCTAAATAAATAGAAATGGTCATTAAGTGCAATGAAATGTTGAAATTGTTAGTTATCATTGAAATGCAATTCAAAAAAATTGTTGGAATTCTATATTTTATTTATATTTCTTTAAATTCATTGGGTATAGCTATTATACTTATTTTCAGTATTTTTTTTACTTATTTCAACAACTAGTTCACTTAATAATTAATTTCTGATGTTTTTTTTCTCCTTGATGGACTACATTTCCTGGTAGGTTATAAGCCAAGTTATTTCGCAATGTGTTCCTTATTTTGACAGTGTTAAGTGACAGCACCTCTGAATTTTATTGCCAAAAGCTATTACTACATCTACTTAGAGTATTATGTGATTTTTACCTTTAAGTAAATTTGCATCGTGTATTACATTTATGGACATATAAATCGAACCATTCTGCATCTCTGTAATAAAGTCAAATTGTTTGTGATGGGTGACCATTTTTTTAAACATATACCTGTCGTGGGATTGCAATTATTTTATTAAGGACTTTTGTTCATGAGGGATATTCACCTGCAGTTCTCCTTTTGGGGGGAGCTGGGTCTTTATTTGGTTTTAATATTTAAGTAATACTGGCTTCATAGAAAAGGTTTGGACATGTTCCTTCTGTTTCTGTCTTTTCTTTTTTTAATAATTAAAAATTGATTGTTTTCTTTGAACATCTAGAAGAATTCTACTCTGATTCCTGGGTTCTTTCAATTTGGAAGTTGTCCTTTTAAAAATTTTTGTTTCAACCTCTGTATTTGTTATGTGTCTGTTGTTAATCTCTTCTTGGCTTAACTTTGTATCCATATTCAGTTGTATTTAGAGATTTGTTTACTTCTTTTAAATTGTCTCACTTAATGGAGCATAGGTTTTAAATTATTCCCCTATAATGTTAAAAATTCCATTGCTATGTTGTTGTTATACCATTATATATGTAAATATATATAAAATAGAGGGATGTTATAAATACAGATATATATGTTATACCAAATAGGATGATCATACTTCCCTCAAAACCTCAATGACATGCATGTAAAACCTCCTTTCCATTGTTGACTACGGAAGTCCAAGAGACTCCTAAAGCAATGTAGGCAATTGCCATTACCCTGGCTTGCCTCCTTGAACCTGGAGGTAAGACCCTCTTGCTGCAAACACAAGACTAGAAGGAATTCAGCTGGAATGGACCTGGAAGCCTCTTCCCCTAGGACTAGCTTTCATAGTACTAGAAGCTGCTATGTGAACTGTCAAGGGAGGAAGCAGATCAATAGTCATACTCAGTTGCAAAGACTACAAACCACAACACTGATTGGCCTGGCAATATATCCCCAGAGGCACAACAGTGGGGTAACTAAGTTAAAATCAAAGCCAAATTAATAGAATGGAACTCATACCTCGTACTGAATACCTATCAATTATCCGTGGTTGGAGAGGAAGCCACCAACTCTAGAGGAGCATCTACTAATGGCCATTTTTTCCTTAAACTAATATAATGTCTAACTATATTCTGAGTCCTTATCCTTACATCCCTAAGTCCGTCATCTGAGAAGCTTCTTTTCATAGCAGGTGAAGACCGTCACAGAGACCCACAACTTGTCAGAACACAAAGGATAAGTGATAGTGGGGTGCCCAGACCCAGTCGCTACATCTTTAACTCAACGCCTTCAACCACAGCTCAGAAAACTTCACAGAAGAGGGAGAAGAGAATGTGAGCTGGAGGAACAGGACACCTGCTGCTAGGTAGCATCTTCCAGATGTGCTAGAGCAGCTGCACTTATGAAATATTGATAATAAGGTTACCTAAGCAAGACCCGCATAATCACAACACCAGTTGAAATGTCCGTACTGTCTGGGAAAGTTTCACAAGGTCCCGCATGGTGTGTGTGTGTGTGTGTGTGTATTCCTACTAGTAAGTCCAAAGTCATCATCCATTCCAAAATTGTCATCCCTTATCCTTGTATTTTGTAACTGATTCTCATTTTATTTATTTATTTATTTATTTATTTATTTATTTATTTATTTATTTATTTAAGATTTCTGTCTCTTCCCCGCCACCGCCTCCCATTTCCCTCCCCCTCCCTCCTCAGCCCAAAGAGCAATCAGGGTTCCCTGCCCTGTGGGAAGTCCAAGGACCACCCACCTCCATCCAGGTCTAGTAAGGTGAGCATCCAAACTGCCTAGGCTCCCACAAAGCCAGTACATGCAGTAGGATCAAAAACCCATTGCCATTGTTCTTGAGTTCTCAGTAGTCCTCATTGTCAGCTATGTTCAGAGAGTCTGGTTTTATCCCAGGCCAGCTGGCCTTGGTGAGTTCCCGATAGAACATCCCCATTGTCTCAGTGTGTGGGTGCACCCCTCGCGGTCCTGAATTCCTTGCTCGTGCTCTCTCTCCTTCTGCTCCTGATTTGGACCTTGAGATTTCAGTTCGGTGCTCCAATGTGGGTCTCTTTCTCTGTCTCTGTCTCCTTTCATCGCCTGATGAAGGTTAATATTCAGGAGGATGCCTGTATGTTTTTCTTCTTATTTAGCTTCTCTAGGATCACCAATTATAGGCTCAATGTCCTTTATTTATGGCTAGAAATCAAATATGAGTGAGTACCTTTTATATTTCCTCTATGGATCGTCAACATGTGAGTGTTAACTTTGGCTATGATAGGTGGTAAAAGGAAGCATGCTCCCAATGTAAGTTGAATTTCTCCTGAAACAAGACCACTAAGATGGAAAGCCACTGGCTTTCCAAATATGAATAGGTAGTTTGTTTGTTTGTTTGTTTTTGCCTAAAGTTCTATCTACTTTAAATTTCTGGTTACTACAAACCCATGGGGTTTCTATGTGGAGTGAAAGAGGGACCAGAAATCCATTTCTATTGGAGTGCGACTCTCAGGAACTAGGAAGCATCCAGTAATTGGGCTGAGCAGCAATGAAGTCTGTCAGTGAGCTTTGACACGTATAGACCACGTCAGGACCGACAGGATACCCATTCCTTCCTTCTGTCCACATACGGTCTCTATCATTTCCTGGTGGCTGAAACCCTCCCCATCAGGCCTCCTTCTGAGGAGCCCCAGCTCCACAAAACTCCGTCCTACTGGGTGTGCCCTGATATTTCTAACCTCCTTGCAAGTGTCACTGGGACACCAGATGGAGCTGGGTGGAGGAAGGCAGCCTGGGGTGTGAGTATGGAGGTTATGTTTTCACGCCTAGCTGTATAAGCTGTTCTAATGTTCTCACCTCCCGTAAATGGGTCTCTGTTCCATCTAAAGTCTGAGGGAATTGGACCAAATATCTAAGAACTCAACTTTAATGCTCTGTGCTTTATTAAGAGGCAAAACTGTAACAACAACTACAGTTTCTTTAGAACGGCTGAAACTGTAAGCCCTCCTCGTTGTTTGGGTTAACCTTTAAAATAAGTTCTCTAGGTGCCTGATAGAGATGGGTGAAGTTATTCTAGCTGTACACTTCCTGATGCTTTCTTGGACATTTCCTTTTCAAATGTATTTAAGAGATGATTTTGAACATTTTGATTTTTTTTTTTTTAATTTGTGTGTGTTCAGATGCCCACGGAGGTCGGGGATGTCAGATCCCCCCCTCAACTGCAGTGACAGGCGGTTGTGAGCTGCCTGATGTGGGTGCTGGGAACCCAGCCCAGGTTGTCTGGACGACCGAGCAGTATGTGCTCGTAACCACTAGGTCTTCTCTCCAGCCCCTAGAGATGATTTTATTTTAATCCTATCATCTCAGGGCTAACCGTTTCTCTGATGACCCACTCTTCCTTGTATGTGTTTGAGAGAGATGGTACTGACAGTTTTCACCCTCACTTGGTGTAATTATCACACCATAGATTGGACTTGGTTGGGGGGATAACATTTGAGTTTCACGTTTCCACAAAGCTTTGAATAGTGGCTGACACATAGTAGCTCTCCATAAACACTAGTTGACTCAATAAGGGCATCTGATTAGTGACAGAACTGGGTATAGAATGCTCTACACACTTAGCCCTCCAACCTTCCATCCCGACAGAGATGTTCTCTATCTCAAGTCCTTCTTTGGGGGTGGGGGGGCTTTCCAGATGCACCTGTTGCTGGATTTGCGCAACCGAGATCAGTGAGCTTCTTCCATCAAAGTGTCCACCGAACCTGCTTCAGTCATGATGCAAAGATAAGAAAGAGGGTCCTCTAAGACTGAAAAGAAGGTGGCTAACTTCCCAAGGTCGACCTTAAGGAGGCCGGCTTGTCTCTGCTGCTCACTTTGCAAGCCTAGAGGGGCGTACTGCAAGGCAGGCCCTGCCGCCCTTGGCCTTGGCTGGGCGGGGCTCTGGGGCTCCTAGCCTAGCTGTCCCGGTCTGGCGGTCGCCCGGCTGCGGTAGTAGGCGGGGCCCTGCGCTCCCCCTCCCCGGTACTGCGGCGGTGGCAGCGCCAGTGCGAACGGTGGCGGAGCCGGGCGGGCCCTGAGCGGGGCGGGAACAGGCGGGGCGGGGCGGCCGCGGAGCCCGGCTGGGGCGAGCACGGGGCGGCGCTCGGCTGCGCGGGCTCTCTGCGGCGGCGGCAGCGGCAGCGGCAGCATCCTCTCTCCCTCGACTTCCCTCCGGCCTCTTTCTCTCTCCTCTCGGTCCTCTCCTCGCTTCTGCCGTCGTCCGGCCTCCCCGGCTCCTCCCACGGAGGAGCTCTAAGCTCTCCGAGTCAGCCGCGACCGCGGGTGCGTCCACTTTCCGCGCCCAGGTAAGACATCGTCCCGCCTCGCTCCGCGCCGGTCCTTCGTCCTCCGGCTCCGCCGAGAGGAGCCGCAGCCCGGAAAGTAGGAACCCGACCCGACCGGCTAGTCTCGTCCGCTGTGCTCTGGGAGAGAGCCCGCGCCGGTTGGCGCTGTCCAGGTGTCACTCCGGGGCAAGGGACCCGGCTCGGTACCTAAGCTCTCGATTTGTAGATGAGCCAGTGACCTCCTTAGGTACCACTTTAAAACCACGGGAAACTTCGGTTCAGGTTGGGGTACGTGTTTTGAGAGTTAGCATGGCCCGAGCTATAGAAAGATCTCGAGGAAAGGAATTGAAAGTAGAGAATTTATTTCTTTTTTATTGTATTTATTATTATTATTATTATTAATAATAATGTGTCTGTAATAATATTATTACTATGTGTCCTCAGAGCTCTGCACACTGAGGAAGGGTGAAGGGGAACCCAGCCAATTTAAAATCATTTCTCCAGAGACAACAGGAAAAAGAAAATTGGTATATTTTGATAATTTTAGGAAAATGAACAACTGTTCCTCGGTTGTATAGAGGGCGGGGCCCTAAGGTACAAGCCTGGCTGAGCTTGGATTTCAGCATTGCCCTTTCTTCCTAAAGGAGAGGGGTGGGTACCCAGCTGCATCTCTCCTCTTCTATTCATTCCTTAATTCTGAAGCTTTTCTTTGCGAGTGGGGGACTGGAGTAATAACTGCCTTGCGTAGCCTCGCCTTTGTTCCAGAATGGAAATTTAATGGCAGAGAAGGCCTCGGAACCAGGAGCGGGGAGGTGTGTGTTTGGGTGTGTGAGGAGGGGGAGGGGAGAGTGAGCTGCTGGTGTCAGAAGCACAGTCCTAGAAAACTGGAAATTGGTGTTTTTCCTCCTGGTATCAGGGATTCTGGATTTTGTCAGTAGATAAAAAGGGTTGGTTAGCAACAAGCTGGCTTGTGATAATTACTGTTTGCCCTCTGTTGTAAGCTCTTATAGTAAGGCAACCAGGACACAGACCTTTTGAAACTGGGTGTGAAGCTTTTGTCAAGATGCAGACACACACACACACACACACACACACACACACACACACACACACCCTGCACACATGCTACAAAATGGTGTGGATAGCCAAAAGACACATCTTTTAAATTCATTTTCTTCGGTTTGAGGATTATGCTCTGAATGAAATTTGTGTTTTAAAAGAACAACCCAAAAACCTATAATTGGGTGGTACATAGTTTCGGGAAAATAAATGAATATTAGTAAGGAACCAACTTACCTATTAAAGATGAATTTCTTTCAAATGATCGGTGAGAGGAAATGCCTGCAAGCTGAAGTTGAGGCTTGCGGCCACAGTGAGGCGATGGAGAACAAAGCCTTTTATGTGAGCCACGTTATGCAAAAGCTCCCTGTGTGTGAGCTGCAGGTACCAGCCCAGTATGAGAGCAGACAACTGTCACCCTTTCATTCCGCTCTGGTCCCTTATGATATTTTTGGCAGCCCAAAATAGATTGAATAAACAATGATGCTTTAAAACGCTTTGATTTTATACCCACGAGGAACATTACACTCCTTTAGCTGAATCTAGTATCTGTCATTTCTGGTAAGAATAATTTAAGATTTGCAAATCATTTCCAGTCAGTTTCCCCATGCACACAAGGACCCCCTCCCCTTCTAGGACAGGGGAAAGTCTGTTTTTACTTCAATAGGAAAATGTTGAATTTGTGCTCAGTGCCATGTGTATGTGTCCTAGCATTAATTTCCCTGTGACTCTTATCTAATTTTCATAGCCTGACATCTGCATTCATGATTTTGATATTATCAGACCAGTTATTTCCTATTTGGTGCATGCCATTTATCTGTGGTTTACTTAGTTTTATTCTATCATATTTCAATTTGTTATAATTTTATTTAATTTCCAAAGTTTTTAATCTCATATGTGAGAAATTGCATATATGAAGGCATCTAGACAATTTAACAATTTGTCTTCCCGTTCTAAAAACCTAATATTTTAGGGGCATTAATTTTTATTTTCATTGTGTTTCTTGTGTCTTAACTCCCTCTCCTTCCCCAATAACCAAAAGCTTTTCTTGCTGACCATTCTTGTCCTTTTCCTTGCTCCTACTTTTGTCTAGACTGCTACAGGTGGAACCAGCATTTCCAGGCTTTTGAGTTTAGGATGTGTTTACATCACAACAGGGTCTCTCTCTCTCTCTCTCTCTCTCTCTCTCTCTCTCTCTCTCTCTCTCTCTCTCTCTCTCTCTCTCTCTCTTGTTTACAGCACCTTCTCCGGGAGGAAGGAGATGGAATGTGCTGCAAGAGCCCGGCCCAGTGAAACTGGCACAACCATGACCTCATGCTAGTAGGTGCTTCAGTCTCATTGAGGGAGCTGACATCCTCTCAATGAAGAGCAAACACCAGCAACAAGCCCATCCCAGGCCAGAAGCCCTGTTCTTCCCACAGCCGCCTCTGCCAACATGGCTCTGCCGAGGTTGAAGGAAAGGCATATTTTTCTCTTTTATGTATTTCTTTTCAGGGATCTTGATTCTGGCCAGAAATACAGAGTCAGAAATGAAACTTGGCACAGAATGTTGTAGGACTGAAGGAACAATTTCAGTCCATGCCTCCCCCAATCCCTGGTTTAAACCATTTTACACATTTTCTAAATGTCATGAGGAAAGGAAAAGAAATGCTTGTTTGGTAGATTTTAATATTCCCTTATGACACACATATATTTGTTGAATTTCACTGTCAGTTAGATGACAGAGAAGAGAACACTTTTGCACTCTGGCAGTCAAGCAGATGTTACATCCATTTGACTAAATGTGCAGTTGGGAGCAAGGGTACCCTTCCATGGAGACAGAGCAGAGGAAGTTGACGGGGGTCCTAGGGTGACTGACAGTTATGTTCTTTTCAGTGCTTGACTTCCTTTTAGCAGACGAAAGTAAAGAACCAGAGATAAAGAAAGCAGTGTCTGATCAGTATTACCCCCTCAATGCTTGGCTTAGGTAAGTCACTAACTGAACGCAGGCGTTTAGGACCATTGGTTGCCTCTTTTGTGTCTGATCTTGATGGGTTACAGATGTTAATAAGCTCTTCCACTCATGTCATTATCTGAGGTTTATTGATTAGCACCAGGAATCTCCAAGCACCCAAAGCAAATATGGGACTGTCAAGTAAGATGGTTGACCTAAAGGCTGAAACCAAGGGAAAGGGTCTATGGGGAAGTCTGGGTACCTGGTAGGGTATAAAGGGAGTCAGAAGGATGAAAGAAAATTCTCAGCTGCTAGTGTTTGTCCATGTAGGGTGCAGATGAGAGCTTATGGGCGTGGGTGGAGGTGGAAGAAATCTGTTTTGCTTTTCTACCTCAATGCAATGTTGTGTCCCTTATCCTCCCACAACATTGCTTTGAGCTTAAAGCTCTGGGTACTTCCTTGTTAAAATTATACAGGATACTTATTGAAAGCAGGTCTGTAGTGAATTAAAAAGTTCAAAACAGTGTGAGCCCAATTAGTTGACTTTATGGAAACATTTTGAATCTAACCTTTGAACTTTGGTCATTCCTCTCCAAAAGATGAATTTCCTTTTTGTGGTGACATACTCAGCTGTGATATATTTAACTTCCACATTTTAGGGGAATTGTTTGGTAATTTAAACAGAAGAAAAATCTTCTCTCACTCTGTTGTTAAGTTTATATTGTACACAAGGGAAAACGTTTTAAACATTGTTTTCTGTTACAAAATATAACAGAAGGGACAAATTCTATCTATCTGTCTGTCTGTCTATCAATATCTATCTATCTATCTATCGTGTATCTGATTTTTGTGATGCTAATGAGATTTTAAGTGCAACTATTTTATTTATTCATTTATTTTTTTTCTTACTTTGAGACTACGAAACTTCATATAGAATAAATAGGCCTGGAATTCCTAAAGCAAGCTCAGATTTAATTTGGGTTCTACCCTCCTTCCTCAGATTTTTCTTGTTCTGGATGACAGGAAATGTACTATGATACCTAACTAAACTCGTTTATTTTTATTTTTCATTTTTTCTTGTATTGAAAATAGATTCTTTTCTCATACACTATATCCCAATTATAGTTTCCCTTTCCTCTACTCCTCCCAGTTCCTCCTTACCTCCCTTCTCCACCATTTCCACACCCATTCTGTCTCTCATTAGGGAAGGACAGGTTTCTAAGAGATGACAACCAAATATGACAAAATAAAATAAGATGGAGCAAAAAATTCATTTCAAAGTTGAATATGGCAATCCCACAGGAGGAGAAGAGTCCCAAGAGCAGGCACAAGAGTAAGAAACTCACCCTTTCCCACGAGAGGGAGTCCCTTGAAAATACTAAGCTAATAGCTATAATATATACACAGAGGACCTGGTGCAGTCCATGAAGGCCCTGTGCTTGCTGCTTCTGTCCCTGTGAGCTTATATGCACCTTGTTTAGTTGATTCAGAGGACCTTGTAATATTGGTTTTCTAGTAGTGTTTAGTTTTACCCTAGGTCTCTAGGCCATCTAGTCTCTGATTCTTGGTTACCCAAGCAGCTTCAGGACTGGATTCCCTCCCATGGGGTAATTCTTAAATGAAATCAGACATTGGTTCACTACTCTCACACGTTCTTTGCAGGCAGGACAGATTGTAGGTCAGAAGCTTTATGACTGGGTTGATGTCCATGATTATCTTTTGGTAGTCTGCAGAGTACCTTCCCACACCTAAGAGACTAGAATTTAGGTTCCGTGTAGGCACCAGCTTCACTTCTCCATATTTGATGCATTGTGTGGGTCTCATCCTCAGCACTAGACTCTGCTGTCTTTACTTAAATCCCAAGTCTATGGATTTGTAGTTTGGATTATCATTTACTTCATAGCTAATATCTACTTATAAGTGAATGAATACTATATTTTCTTTCTGGGTCTGGGTTACCTTATTCAGAATTTTTTTTCTAGTGTACCCATTTGACTGCAAATTTCATGATGATGTTTAAAAAAATACA